GTTCCTAATTTGTCTCTCGATGACCTTTCCTCACTGACAGTATTTCTTAAATAGACTCTACATATTGAATAACACACTATTTAACCACTTTAATAATGTTTAAACATCTCACAGCAACGTACACACAACAATGTCAATGAATATTCAGTTCTAAAGCGCGACTCTTCAAATATTGCTGCTTCAAATTATTTTTTCATTGTTTCTTTGTCCTTAGCATCGCCTCCTGATTTTGATATTTTTTTTCTATTGTTCTATCCTCTTGATAGTAAGATTTTTCTTAAATAATGGTTATTTATAGTGGAAATGTTAAATGAGCCACCACGATTTATATAGAACTGTTACCGCTTTCTTGTAAAATATCCCATAACAAAACAAAAAACAAAACAAACAAAAAGACCTAACATGTCAACAAAATCATAATGTAAACTCAACTTCAATAAAACAATGGCAAAATATAAACAAAGCAAAGCTGTATATGGGGACTCCTAAAAGAATTATGTAAAGGGAATAGGGCCAGGTGTTCCGAAAGTAAGAGCACGAAATGTCTCTTTAAATAATGACACAAACATGTGTGTGTCATATAATGGGGAACCTGATACGACTGGTCGAATGAAGGAAGTATATTTAAAGCGACAAAATGTTTTAAAAACACTTCTGCCAGAACCATCAATACAAGACATATCTTGCATATTCTTGTATTGATCGGCTTGCTGGGGTGACAAAAGTATTGTTCTTCTTCTGTCTTTTATTATTTTGTGAAGAATTTTGTTCACGAGTCACATATCAAATGCCTGTCAAAACATTCACATGGACATATAATAGCATTGCTTTCTCTATATGTTCGCCGTAAACATTAATTTAACTGGCGATCTCTTTAGAATTCGGTAGCTTAATCATCATCATACGACGTTTTCGTTCCCTGAGGCCATTTTGATTTAGCTGTTTTACCTGAGTCACTGCTCATCTTCTTTTCAAAATGTTATCTTATCTGGGGATTTTTTCATCTTTAAACCGATCTCAGTAGGGATTAAAGCTCTTGCAGATTCTGTTTTCCTGAACGGTTCTGTCTTCCTGAACAACAATATCATTACTTTATTTCTGGAGGAGTTATTGTCATTGACAAACATTTCATTCTTTTGTGGATATGTCCTTTGTTGGTTTTGTTTTCTTTGAAGTGTTGTATACATTAGGACCATGAAATGGTATAGCAATTGGTGTTTTTTTCTGAATATCATTGCATTTGATCAATTATTTGAGAGCAATTACTCCTTTTCAGCATCTTAATCTTGTCCGGTTGTCATTTTTAACCAATGTCTTTGACACTTCATATGTCAGCGAGTTTCTTTCAGAGATGATTTGTGATTTGTGGTTTCGTATGTGTTATCATCAAAGCATAAAATCTCAAATGAAAACTTATTCAAGATTCTGTATGTATTGTGATAAATATCTTTATTCTAGGCCTATGGTATAGATAGTGTTTACATTTTCATTGTACAAATTTTCCGATTCTATTGTTATGATTTTGATTTCGTGTTTGAATATTTTTTTTCACTATTCTTAGGATTGGTCGTCAAAGCTAACCGAATGATGGCGTTCATGTTTCACTTTCAACCTAATTCTGATTGGCATTGTTTAAAGTTATTTCGTTTCTATAGGATTTTAGTATGCTTGAATCGTTTTCATTTTTAAGCTTAGTTTGACGTAAACCTAGCTATTGAATGGATGTCAATGAATGCTTCTATAAATCGTCACCTCTTGTTCCACAAGCGTAAGGCATCAGATTTGATTGAATGAAAAGCCCCTTTGGGTAATGATCAGAAACGTTAACAAAATGATGCTACTGGTTCGTTGTACACTTTTACTGTGTTAATCGACACGTTTACTTTACAGTGAGGCTCAATCCTGATGATAGCGCCAACAATGTGGTTCCATGATCGGCGCTGTGCTGCCCTCTCAGCTGGCAATGAAAACGAAAGATGGAAATTGTTGAAAATAAGTATAAATCAGAATTTATTCACTGAATAACTTAGGACAGATGGTAATCGTTTATGTCTGTCACACACGTGACACCAGTTAGATGGCCATCGCTCTCCCTGGACCATTACACAACCACAGCTGTCCTTATAACACCGAGATCTGTATGTTAATTATATGGTCGGTTGACACACATGTATGCGAGATTATTATATATCAAATCGTTTGTTCTGTAAAGCTCATACACAATTGTCCACCATCAGTCGTAGCAATTTGACTGCCGAGGGCTGTCTCTCCTTTCTTACACGAATATTATTAGCAAGTGTATGTCTAAAAGGCAATTTAGATTTTGTATGAGAGTGTACCGTTATATTTGTTTGTTGTTTATCTTGGCTCGGAAGTTCTATATATCAACACAATTAATAACTCTAGGTATGGCGATTGGTTTCGATCTCTATACAATTGCCTGCGATAAACAATCCTTTATATCACTCTCAGAAATGTCATCAAATGTAACCAAATTCTACCGTCTATTAAGTGTTCAATTATTCAGGACGTTGTTGTGTATAAGTCTGTGAAATATTATTGATTAGTCTGTTGGGCTATGATGAAATAACACATCTTATTATACAATGCCTTGTGTTTGCTCTAGTATATACTGGAATCAAATATCCTGTTTCCATGAGATAACGTGACCTTGTAATTTTATTGCACGATGAAACTGCACGATGACGTATCAGTAATTATGACGTCATAAAGAATGTCATCTGAAAATTAAAAAGAATGAATTTCGTGCGTTTAATTGTTGTTGACTGTATCGTTTACCTCTGGCTGACTGTGGGATTCCTGTGTGAATCTTTTTGCTATACTCGAGAAGATTCGAAACATTTTAAAGCAGTTGTAATATCAGGTATGAAATTAAAAACACAATGGAAAATTTTGTAACAAGTCTGTAGGGATGTTTTTCGTAATTATGTCATTAAACAGAGTTTGATCATGTCTTCTCCTGCTAAAGTAAAGAATATTCGCCCTCGGTGCTGGTAGTTGAACACATGTTATTGCCGAGCACAATTTAAAAATATTGCCAACAACCAGTCCCTCGGGTATAATACATTGACTATAGCATGGGATGACATGAAATATCAGTATATCAGATAGGAATGTAACTGTCATCTTCAATCACTTGTGGAAACCAATGTATGGATTGATACAAAGACGTCGAAAAACCACCTGCAAGGGGCATTACTCTTAATCTTTGACTTCACCAAAATTGAACCTACGTGTTTGAGAGCTTACACATGAGTTTGGTCCGTGATTAAAATACAGTTTTGTATCATGGATTTTAAGTATTCTCATGTCTGTTGACTTTGAATGAATATTCCCTACTTTTAAGTAAGAAATTGGAATTAGGATAGTAACACTGACTCGGTTCAGTAGATGTTTTCTGTGTAATCACTGGACTGTGTAAGAAAGGATCACTATCCACGAAAATCTGGATTCGTATCCGTTCTCCGAGGAAGTATACTGCCTTTTCTTAGTGGATTACAGAGCTGATTGTAATGCGAAAGAAAGTTGCACAAAACGGGCAAAATATAACGTGTGCCACTTTCATTATAGATCACGTTCTCGCTACAAGGAACAGCAAATTCACATGCCGTCAAGTAAAGCATTAGAAACAGCCAGCCTTTTTCAACAGATTGTAACACATCTACACGGTATTAGGTATGAGAGCCTTTTGTCATTCCACATTGATTCACATTCTTTATCTAATATCTTGTCTGTCATAGTAGTACTGGTAAACGAACAACCTTCTGACGCTTACATTTCAGTCATGAATGTAAACAGGATAACACATTCACATATACCTTCTATGGACTGGTAATCATACGTATCGAAGTGTACTGAAAACAAATTACAGGATGCCATCTCGGAACTCTCGGCAGATTACCGGCAACAAAACACAGTTCAATACCTTGTATTTCAGTGTTACCTAGTCAGATTGCAATCAATGTGCACATATCCTGTATGTATAGCTGTGTTTATTATTGTTTTATGCAACGTGCTGTATGCATATTTTACTGAATCAATAAAACATATATGTATAACTACAGACAGGTCCCTTGTCATTTTCACCCATTTACATATAGGAAAGTACGGGTGGATTCAACAATACCTCTTCCAAATATACGCAGGACTAGACATTGCCTGTGGCCATTAATTACCGAGGCTCATATTTACATTAATCTCCGGCACAGGTAAGTGCTGGAGTAAACGTTTATCGAGCCACATACTACCGTGAAGGGAAATAAACAAGTTTTAAGTGACTTTAAATACAAAACATTTGCACGTACTAGCTGATACTGTCCATTGATGTGTTAATAATGTAGTATTCATTAAAGCGTACCAAGGCGAAAGCTTTGCAGACCCGATTAAATTCAGATTTATGACTCATTAGATCTCTAAATAGTTTTAATCTTATCAAACCAGGAATGTGTGTCCCATATGTTTGTATTTATAAAGTTGTTTAAAACTTCAACTTTGAACGTTAACATATATTTATTTTCCTTGCTATTATGATGGTTTGGTATTATTGTGTTTAGGATTTTTTGCCCGAGGGATCAACACGTGTTACATTGACCTGACTTCGAGGCTAGTAACGTCAATTTCACTGTCAGATGTTTGAACTATAAATATATCCTTATTAAGCTTTGGCATAGGTACATATGTGTAACTACGTTTCACTGTGGCACATTAAACATTAATAAAACAATAACAGAACTTCAATTGTACACATACATATCGCCATCCTTATATCTTATGTTTATTCATAATTCCATACACACACCTACGTCATTTATAAACAAACATGCATGAGATACCACCAGATTATTTACCGTTTGCTTTGTTACAATTCCAATACTCCATTCTTATCCACAGTAGTAGGAGTATCAAGTCAAACATTAACACAACAAACCATTCGTGTTTCATTGATCAGAACCATTCACATATGAACGTATGACACAATGTCACAAACCAGAACTACACAAAGTCGTATCACATTGTGTTTCTATATCTTCGATTAATGCGTCTGTTTTCGCACTCTCCAAAGAGTCCTCTGTCACTTTACTAAGACTGTGGGGTGCGAATGAAAACTTGCCCCCCGACCTGCGTTTATTTTTCATATCCCTTCGAATGGCAGCGTGTTCCATATCCCGTGGGGGTGGGGTCGAAGGACGTTTCCGTATCGGACGGAACATATCATCCGGACAGGTACTAGCGCGAGGTCTCTGAAACGGTTCCAATTCATTTTTAAATCCTACATCACTACATCTCCTGAAATCATCTTTAATTTTTAAAGAACCAGTCTCAAATTTCTCTTTTACCTGAAGCTTTCTTTCCGAGAAATCTTCCACCAAAATTTCTGGAAGCACCACAATATTTTCGATCGTCCTCGCACCTTTTCCGGGTGGTGGTCGTATGAGTTTGGAGTCTGAGTTACATCGTGGTCGGATGTCCTCCATAACTTCATTATTTACAACTTTCAATTGATCCATGATGGCTTAAAACATGTTTATCTACAACCTTGTACTCAAATGTTTTAACATGATACAGGACAATGACCGGCAGGGTTAATGTCGTATATGTCCACACTCCACAAATTTATGAGAAGCGGTCAACACTAGCTTGTAGTATCCTCTGTGATCAGTGGTCCTACGGCTATCACCTGTTTTACTACGACACTGAACACGATCCGCCGGTAAAAGTTTACCTCCAGTGACGTCAGAACAGTGTAAATAATGCAGTCCCAGGTCTCACCATACTATCAACAATAATCTCCATAGACTATTTCATCACAGAGTGCTGAAGCTTCACAGATGACTAAATAGTCAGCTGGCTTGATTTATCTGGTACATTAAATAACTCAGGTCAACACTAACACACGGTAATGATATGTTCAGTAGACTGTGATAAATATGTCCTTGGTATATCGATAAAATCATCGTACAGGTGAGGCAAGAAAACACTATCCAACAGTAATGTAGACACCATTCGACATGGCTGAGCAAGTGATCCTTAAGTATCAAAGACTCGGTCCTAAAGTGTTGAGGTTTTGTCCTTCAACTTTGAGGCGTAGCCCGAGACTGTAAACTGAAGTCTGTTGTTCAACACTCATAACTACACCCGGCCACAAAATTCTGATATAAACAAATTCACGTGGAGTCTGCTTTACATAACCAATAAGAATTATAGTAACAACTAGTCCGACAGCAACACCTTCTATAGAGGCACTTCGGACTGTACGAACACAATGGGCGGTGTGATTGACATCGGCACTGTACTGCTAAACACACCGGACAAGTGTTACTCCTGGTATTAAGAACTCATCACACACGGGCAGTATAATGGCGGTTTTATCACCTGGTCTGACAAAGTAGGAGAATTGTTAGCACTATCACGTACGGTTCAGGTATTGATAACATTGCGTTACCGTTCTACTTTAAGTACCACAGTTCATCGCCTGTTATCACTACATCATTGTGTGAAATCTTTACCACCACTTAGTGTCCACTATGACGTAAGGTACAAATCACAAAAGGTATGGACTGTTCTCTACTAGTACAAATAACCTGTGCCACCAACTGTGGTCTCTCTATATATACCCTGCCAGATGTATCGATTGGTTGATCCATTTAAGCAATATAGCGGCTATGCATAGCTCGGAGAGAAGAGTTTGCTAATGTTTCGGTACGTAAAAGGTGTGTAAAATTTTGGTGAAAATCGGCCTAATTCTTATAAACCTAATAAGGTAATGGACGTTTCAAAACTAGTCTGATTGTGATGTGTCCGTAAGTATAACCTAAGTTCCCACCAAGAAAGCTTTCTTTCTGCACTTAAGGGTCACATTATTAGAGCCGTCATTGGCGACGAATTTTATGATGGGGAGTAATTTCTACTGTAACTTGTATCGGATATTGTGGTATATTATTTCAGAGTTGGCGGTGGGGGAGGGGTGTTTGAAAGTAATGATATAGAACATTCAAGTAGATGCTTTTATTAATTTTGAAAAGAATTCGATAGATAATTATACCCCAGATTGTCAATATTCATTCAACTAGTGAAGAGTCTTCTAGTATAATGCATTGAAGAGAACTCTACATGTTGTACCATTTACCTGAAGCTGAAGGGTCGACTTGATTTGTGAAGGAATATCGTCATGCCAATAGAATATTTAATACTCAAACTTTGGCGAAACATAAACAACCGAAAAAAGTTATATAAAGACCTCTGAAAACGGAGAGTAACACAAGGTGTTCCGCAAGGGTAAGCATCTCTTGTTTTATCGACGACATTCACCTTCCAAGCCTCAATCATTTGAAGCACATAGTAGGTAATGTCATTTCGCAAATAAGGTCAAGTCAGGTCAGACATAATAACGAGCATCAGCCACACCGATATAAACAACATTATGTTTTATTTTCCTAATGTCTCGCCTGGCAATAGGGCATAATCACGAACGTCCCTCCAGAAAGGCTATGGGTATTGTCACCTGACTGAAACAGATGGTATTTACAATTATCTAATTGACATCATTATCAGAGGAGTTAGTGATTATAACCTGTAAGTCAATGGAATGTTATATTTTATATATAGTTTCATGTAATGACACTCCATCATTTATCAATTCTGTCTTCATATGTATGTGCTTTGTTACACACATTCGCTTTCAGATTTATTCTTCCTATTTTGGTAATTTTCTCCGAGTATTAACTGCGATCCGTACAAAATTATTACAGTTCTAAAAAACTTCGCCTTAATGCTTACTTCAAGGTGTAAAAACATGAACATCTTATCCCTTAACGTAGTTATTGCTGTATGGTTGTTACAATACTATTTCATCCTGACTCTACATCATAAAAGCATATAAAAGCATGTTGTCCATACTTTCTCTTTTATAATCTTCAAAATATAACATAATAGATAATACACGTACTTTCATGTTCGAAGTTTGATCGGCGTTGTGTGAAAATCTATAACAATATGATTAGATGTGTTTGGCTGACTGAACCTTCGCTATTTCCTTTTCACTCTCGTTCACTAACGTTGGTAAATCCGTCGATCATTATCACCTTGAATAAAATTGCTAATTGTTTGCGTTGTCGATGATCGTTTGACTAGAATATAGATTACTGAAATATTCATGTTTTCCCCAGAGGTTTTTAGTCAGTGCCAAATAATTCTACATTCAATGCCATACTGACCTGCTTTCTTGCAATGGTGTCCTAGTGTTTGACTTCAGTCAAGTTCATCCAGATTTCCTGTATTATGTTCATCTAATTGATTTATCATGCTGTTCGTTAATGATATATCAAAACAATTGTTGGTTCTTCTTCATATTCTCGTCTTATTGCCTGCCATTTCGGGTGGACTTTTCGTAAAGAAGTGTTTTTATTATTATTATTTTTCCTAATATGGAAACTATGACTTGTACGATTTTTTAAATATTCGAAGGGAAATTGAATTGATTTAGTATATACATGTTTAGTACAGGATTATGTCGCAGAATTGTATCGTCTTCATATCAGAAGAGAGTTATTCGAAATAGCTAATAATTATGTACCACAAATATTTGACTGGGTCAGAAGTTATATTCTGTTTACACGAAGAATGCAAATAAGGTCCAGAAGAGATCATTGATATGTAGGATAGTAATGAAGGACCGTCATCGGAGTCTGTGTCTATTGTAGGTCATAATCCCAGGAGATGTTTATAATCACTTGGTATTGTGATGACCTCTTACTGTGTTTAATTTCACAATCACATTTAGCATGATTGAAAGATGAGGATGAAACCCGTCGCCTTGTATTAATTAAATTAATGAATTCAAGAAGAGAAACGTACAGACAAACCTTTTAACACTTTAGTGTCGGTGTTATTCTGCTGTCAATATCTCACAGTATTACGTAGCTAAGGAATTAAGTCTAAACATTGCATCCATATTGCTTATTTTTTCTGAAGAATACTTACCATTATTTATTTTAGATACGAATGAATATATCACTCATATTGCTTCAATAGGCAATAAGGGTGATAATTTTCTGTTTAATGCACAATTTTGAAATAACAATGCAACGGGAGAGATTGAAACGATGATATCGGGAAACCTAAGGATATTTACCCAAGTATTTGTCAGCTACGAATTGCATCTCTAAAATCTCAATTAGGCGACGCGGGCTGTAATGTTGTTGAGAAATTCTTGAAAACATCAAGATATCGAAATCAACGAGCGCAGTGTGAATCGAATATCGGATACCATGACGTTGCATTATATTTTTCATTCAAACCCGCATTCGTAATATGCCATGTATAAGACTGCCACAATTTATTTGACAGAAGAACAGAGCATTCCTTGTGGTTTAATATTACTCATCCGTTCCTGGAATTGATGGGATTATAAAGGTTGTCACTTAGTGTTGAAGAAACGTTGAGCACACTTGTTTTGGCTGTTTTATTGCTTGGCTGATGGTGGGGGATCAAGAAAAAGAGAAAGCATTTTGCTGTCCCTATTTTTTTTAGTGTTTTATGAGTCATCTCCCTATTTCATGGACTGAAACATCAGAAAATAGTTCATGTTGTGTATCCAAAATGGTCCTGCTTTTATGGTTAACATCTATCTTCCTGCATGGAAAATTGTTAAACAATGATGTATATTATCTTATCATTTGTGTTTGAACGCAATGTATAATTAACCAGACACATGACAAAGTACGTCTTTCACTCTAGGAAAGTGCGTACCTCACCAACGAACTGAACAATGATTTAAACGATATATCCCGCGTTAGAGTCGGTCTTACACAACACAATACAGCTCCTGTGGAAGTTGACATTCAACTGTTCTCAGAATTTGAATAGAATTGCTGATACCTTAACAATGCTAATGTAGCTCTTTATGTGTGTAAATGGCTACGAGTCAGATTCCTGAAGCGGTTAAATGTAACGCACAAAGATACTCCAGAATAGCTTCATCAACTGTATCATCGGCAGACAGCTTTATCCAAACAATGGGGCTCAAAAGGGAAACACGGGGAACAGAAATTGAAATAATTCGAAAAAAGGGTCAAGTAACATACTTGAACATGTACTTGAAGATAACATTATTCGATATTTAAACAGTTTGAAATCGATCGAATTTTGTGACTATTGAACCTCTCCATTTAGATGTTGATACTTCTGTCAGTCAATATTGATTTCCTTATCGCCTCCTTGATCCACAGCATCACTCATTCTAAATTTGTATAAACAGGTGTTATTTTCTTGTGTATCCTTTTACAATCCATACACGAACTACAAAAGGTCAGCATCTTACACTGAACATACCATACCAGAAGGAATTACGATACATGATACTAACGATTTAAGAAGCGCTGACTGATACAATATGTTATAACATAAAAAAAAATAATTAGAAACATTTCAGCAAAAGAAAGATCATAACTGGAACTAGACATACGTCATCAGAAGGAAGGATGACAAATGGAACTAGACATACGTCATC